ATTTTTATAAATACCCGATGGTTGAGGCATCAGTTTACCCACAATCCAAAGGCAAACTCTCCCTCGTTTCTTTTTCGCTCGTGTTACCGGATTGCTGCTACGCCTTTATTTGCCGTTGCCGTTGCCGTCGCTACTTGTTATCTACTAATTTGCCTCAATTTGTTGTCTTCTCGTAGCAACTAGTCACCATTGTTGACTTGGAGGTACACACACTACGCTTTGTATGCTCTTTCTTTTTTGTTTTTTTTTCTTCCATTTTCGTGCAAGACACTAAGCATCACATGTACCTCTTTTTATTGGTTTCGCATGAAGCTTCTTATTGCAGGAATTGATTACATTATGGCTGCCAGCCATGTCTTTAATGTAAATATTTGACATTTAGATACCCAAGACCCCCTTTTTTTCAACACCTAACCATTATGAGGAACTTTCGGCAATAGACTTTGTTTATTTTGATTCATCATTGGTACTTGAAATTTGCACCTTACGCATGTTGCATTTTGAACCCGTAGGATAACATAGCCTTCTAGTCATCTTGCGCACAGTTTCCATTTATTTCAAATCCAATACTTAGCATCATATTTGATCTGCTCCCATCAGCTGAAACATCGCATTCAAGAATCTGATTTCCACGAGGCTCTTGACAAATCCATTTCGGCTCAGTAAAGTCATCCCAACGAGGAATCGACTTCCCGAATTCCCACGGACGGAGACTTTCTTTTTGGCTCGGATTCACATCAAACTTTTCCCTGTAAATAGCCATCCCTAGGTGGCAAACTCTTGAACGAGTTTTATTTGTCTCTTCAGCTGCATCGTCAAGTTGCCGCTGCCGCTAGAGTCAGTCGTCATCCGTTGGTTACAAAAAAAATTCCTTTGTACTAGGTACTGGCGGCTTCATCATTTTTTTTTTACTTGCAATATTCAATTATTACAAGAAGCTTTAGTCAATTGAGACGCTTAGAGCCCCTACGACTTTACCAAATAAATTCTCAAAATATTATCTGAGAATGAAGCTCGGGTCTCGGCTGGCAAATTAAAATTGACCGAATGGAGATTGGCTCGAAATATTATTTGAGGTGCCTTTTAAATATTATTCAAAATCATGTATGCCTTTTAAATGTTATTTGAGAATGAAGGTTGGCTCAAAATATTATCTCTGAACTACTCCTTATGGTTAGAAATTTGATATCAATTTTCGCACCAGTCGTTTTACGTCCCAAATATTATTGCCATGCATGATTTCGATCTCAGTTTTACTAACTTGCTTCTTCATAGAAAACCAAAACCGTGCTTGGAGGAGAATTTGAAGCAATTTCAGGGACTTGGGAAAGGCTCAACCGAACAGGTAATTTAGTTACCAAAATTTTGTAAGAAATTCCCTTCACCATCTAATATTTTCTTTTTCAAAATTTCAGCAAATATGCAAATTAAGGACTACGCCACGCCATTGCCACATATTTCATTGACGGACGAATGGGGTGGACCTCAATCAAAGAGCTTGTCACTACATGTTCATAAACCAGCAATCGGCCCGCTCGCTGAATCTTTCATACCCCTTGAAGGATGCTTTCATCTTGAAAATTGGACTAGTAAGTGGACCAAAGAAGTTGTGGCCCTGTCGACTTTCTCTACTACGTCGAGGGAAGAAGAAGTGGTCGTATTAAACTCGTCACTTCACAATGGAGATCCAGAATAGCCAAATTCACGCTTCTGTTCGTGGGATTCAATATCGATAAAACTACGTGGAAAATTCCTTCTTCCTTCTTTGGCGAGGCCTGCTTCACCTCTCATTATTGGAAGTGGGTTGAGGACATCGTTGGAAGATATAAAGAAGTGCTCACCCGTGCCGGCATATTTGAAGTTGTCTACGCGTCGAGATACTCCTACGACCGCTGTGAGAATATCTTGCGAGCCTTCTTCAAATATTGGTGCCCTTCGACAAACACACTTCATACGCCCGTTGGGGAGTTGTCCATCACGCTTTGGGACCTTTATCGACTTGATGGCCTTTCGATCGATGGCTTGTTCTTTGATGAGATTGTTCTTTCGGCGCAGGAGATTCTTACTCGTGACAAAGAAGGGAAGCCACTTTTCCCTGAGAGTTGCAGGCATCTTTTTTCGGCTTACTACCACCTCTGGACGAATGACCAAGGGGTATGGATGAAGGACCGGATTCGCTTCTGGTTCAAAGGAGAGGCTAGGTATAGGGCTCTTCTGAATAGGGCGAATAGAAGAAAGACCATATCTAAACCGAAAATGACTTACAACCCTTCTGGAAGCTTGGAGCCGCACGACCTTGCTGACACGAAGGACTTCAACGTCCCTTTCGACACACTGGGTATCCCGGGTCTTTAAGAAAGGAAACCTATACTGCGGGATTTATAGCGTGTTGGATTTGCAAGTTTCTTTTGTCGAGCAAAAAGGTCGATGGTATTCGCCCAAGTGTCTTCAAGGTTGCATGCTTGATGGCCACAGGGAAAAGATTTTGCCTTGCAATTTCCGTTCTTGCGAGCATATATCATGGGTTGAGGGAGATTGTCCACGCTCCTAACCTTGGAGAATGTGGGGTAACTTTTCCAATCCATTACGTCTATGCTTGGATTGGCCAATACTTCGATGTATATTATGAAAACAATCAAGTGAGTAGCCACCACGCTCGCATGACAAGATTTAGTGGTGAGAAAATGACAATATTTTATGGCCGATCAGAAGCTGAGGAAATCTTCAAAGAAGTGAATCCTTTGATGCTTCCCAAATTGTGCTGGACCGAGAATGAAGAAAAGGTGTTGATCGATGATGGATCCTTATCATCGAGGCTTACGAGTTACTTCATTAGTCAACGCTCTTGCCATTTAACTCTACGTAAGGACAATACTTTCATTATTGAAAAATATAATCCTTGCAGGTTTAGCCGACAATTCGACTTCTGTCAGGACATTCCCAACAACTTGAAAGAGATCACTCATACTTATACTTTGGGTAAGGCTATTCAACTATGGGACTCCTCAGTTCGCACGTAGACGCGATCTCGGATGACTATACCCACGCACAGGAAGCATCCATTGATCACAAAAGACTAGGACGCCTGGTAGTCGACTCGGTCAAATAGTGTTTCTTCAGCTCCCTTGAAACTAACCGTTAAGATCCCTCAGCAATCATTGAAGAAGGGTAAGGTCACCTCCGCTAACGACTTAGTGCATCATAATGGAGTTATAGAGATTGTAACGGGTCTTACCTCATCTACCTTGCGGAAGAACAAAATTATTAGTAGTCCCTCGAAAAACATTGCCGCAAAAAATAAGTTTTCCAAGGACTCTCGACAGGCCGTCAAAGAGGCGTAACCAGTGATTCCAGCAAAGAAGACGCCGCCCAAAGTTTCAAAATCCTTATCGGTGACTCGCACAGAAGAAGATGTCGAAACTGAAACGGTGGATGATCGTGACTCTATCGAGGACATAGAAAAGGAAAGGACTCAAGTTCAGGGCATCGTATCTACCCAAGAAGGAGCCCATTCATTGGCGAGCTGTAGCAGTAGTCAAGACCGTCATTGGACCCGATCAAAGAAGAGGACATCCTCTGATTTGGAGGAGGTTTCCTTTACACCACCGTCAGTTGGAGTGTCACCACTTAAGGTAATCATCTCTCCATTTTTCTTTCTTCTTTTTTTTGTAAAATTTATTTTTTGTAACTTCTTTTTTTTTCCAGCCCCCGTTTCTTGAATTCCGTCAGGAAGGTGTTGGTAACAATTCACCACCCGAACTCGAAGCTGATGATATAATTTCAAATAATAAAAGTGACGAAGTAGCTATCAGTACTCCAAAACAATTTGCCCCCAGTGGAGGTACCTCATCAATGTGTAAGAAGGAGTTAACTGGTTCGCACGAGACCCGAAAGAGACCTAAACCAGCATTGGTTTTAGAATTTCATGGGCAAAAATTGATCCAAGCGCATCGAAAGAGATATTTACAGAGTTTGTGGATGAATTTTCGCGGGCAGATTCTTGACACTCCTATTGAGCAGATCTCTTCTTTAAAAGAGTGTGCGGAGGAGATCATTACAGAAATCACAAGAACGGATCCTACCAATGGTCTCCTTTTAAAAGATTATTTGATAGAATTGTTTGTCAAGGCGGAGGCATATGATGTTTTGGCATCTTCATCATGAGAAAAGATGAGTAAAGAAGCACATACAGAACTCCTTTCCAAAGTGACCGCCCAACTCGGGAGAGTTAAGGCGAAAGAAGAAAATCTAACTTGTCATCTGCAAAGTCTTGAAGAAAAGTTGCAGTCCATTGAAGACAGGAAGAAAGTGTTGCAATAGGAACTTATCAATTTGGAGAAACAAGGCCTGGAAATCAACTCAACTATCGATCAAAAGCATGAAACTTTTGAGGAGATCCGAACTGAAGTAGCCCGGGCACATGATGAGCTCTCCTCTATTGAAGGTATCGGCATCTTGACTGATGACGCAGTGAAGGAACTTGAAGACATGAAGTCTGCACTTGAATCATGCAAAATAGCTGTAGTGGATTACAAATTTGACATTTAGACTTTTCACCCTGTCTTTTTTCTGAATTTGTTCCATTTTTTTTAATGAAATTTTCCCTTTTTCTTTTGAATAATAAAATGCTTTCCATTCCTTATCTTTTTTTTTTTTTGAGATACAATAACTCAAATGGAGCATTTTATTTATTTTATATTTTTTTTGGAAAGAGAAGATTCTTTTTTTTTTTTTTTTTGCAAGGAACAAGGATTTGATTTGGAGTGGTGTAACTGAACTTAGAAGTTGCCCTCCAAACTGCTTACGTATCCCAACAAGGGAATCAAGTCACACGTAGTTCCTGCCGTTCACATTTTAACCTCATGCGGGTCAAGAGTATCTATTTGTTTTTCACCTTAGACTTGGTGGAGTGTTTTAGCAGTTTAACCACATACTACACTATTGGTGGTTGCCATCCACAGTTTTAGCTCATGCGGTCCAAGAGCATCGAGCGGTTCCGATTACGCATAGTACCTTTTTAGGTATTTGCCATTGATGGGGCCAACCCTTAATCCATCTTCAGCAACCAACTTGTATGAGCCATTTGTATATACTTCTCGAACGACATATGGACCATCCCACTTAGGAGTAAACTTTTTTTGTCCGCCATGAGTGAGAATGATTGGTCTCCGAACGGCAAGCACTAACTCTCCAATTTGGAAAGAGCGAGGTCGAACGTGCTTATTGAATGCTTTTGAAAGGCGAGCCTGATAGCACTCAATCCGTTGCTGAGCTTCCAATCTCTTTTCGTCGAGTGTTTCTAACTCCTCAAGGCGAAGACGAACATTATCTTCTTCACTGAACCCTTCTTGAATTGCAATTCTTAGCGAAGATATTTGACACTCAAGTGGAAGAACAGCTTCAATACCGTAAACAAGTGCGTATGGGGTCGCTTGCGTGGGAGTTCGAAAAGTAGTTCGGTATGCTCAAAGTGCTTCTTCAATTCGAAGATGCCAATCCCTTTTTGATTTATCCACAATTTTCTTCAACAGATTACATAAGGTCTTGTTGAATGTTTCAGCGAGTCCATTTGCAGTAACGTAATACATTGACGAATTGTATTGTTTGAAATGAAACTTTTCACAAAATTTGCTCATTGCTATATTGCAAAAAGGCTTACCATTATCGGTGATGATATAACGCGGGACCCCATATCGATAAATGATGTGCGAGCGAATGAAATTTATTACATTCACCTTTTTGACCTCTCTTAGAGGAACCGCTTCGGCCCACTTTGAGAAATAATCTGTTGCCGCCAAAATGAAAATGTGTCATCCAGAAGATTTTGGGAGCGGTCCAACTATATCCAAACCCCAAGCATCGAACAGCCAAGAAGCTACAGTTGGATGCAATGGTTCAGGAGGTTGACGGATGAAATTGCCATGGAATTGACAAGCTTGACATTTTCTAGTAAAATCGATACAGTCTTTTACCATCGTTGGCCAGTAGTATCCCATTCTCTTAATGTGAAAGTGTAATTTCGGGCCAGATTGGTGAGCACCACATATCCCAGAGTGAGCCTCCTCCATTGCTTGCATGGCCTCATCTTCTCCAAGACATCGTAGAAATACCCCATCGAATGATCTTCGGTAAAGCGTCCCTTTGTAGTAAATGAAACGTGGCGCTCGACGACGTATATCAACCCTTTTTTTGGGATCTTCTGGTAACTTCCCATGATTAAGGTAATCAACGATGAGGTGACGCCAATCCTCTTTTTCGATCTCATGGACAAAAATATGATAAGCATTTTCTTCCTCACCATCATCTTCTTCATCAAACATCGGAGGTATGACCCAACTTTGACATATTGAAATTTGATTTCGATGAGAAGGTTGAGTGATCATGGACGCCAACCTTGCCAAAGAGTCAGCTTGTTGGTTGAAATTCCTAGGGATATGTTCTATAGTGAGATTATCTAGATATCCCATGAGTTGTCTTGCATACTTATAATATGGGATCAATTCAAGTTTCTTGACATCATAAATACCAAGAAATTGATTTACCACTAATTTTGAATCACCATAGACCCTAAGATGCAACTGCTTCATGTCTACGGCCGTTTTCAGACCAAGAATCAATGCCTGATATTCGACCACATTGTTTGAACACCGACATGTTAAAGTGAAAGAGTGTGGCAATATATCTGATTCAGGAGTATAAAAGATAACTCCTGCACCAGCCCCGTCACGGTGCGCGGCTCCATCGAAATACATCGATCATGGGAATTCGACCATAAACACTTTTTCATCGGAGAGTTCATATCAGTCAACTCCCACTCGGTAGGTATGGAATGATCGGCTAAAAAGTCTGCCAATGTTTGTCCTTTGACAGTCTTCATAGGTACATAAATAATTTCGAATTGTTGAAACTGGAGGTACCATCTCGTGAGCCGATCAGATAGTACAGGTTTTGCCATGACATATTTAATGGGATTAGAGTTAGTTATGAGTCGAATAGTGTGTGCTTGAAAATAATGTTTCAACTTCTGAATGATAAATATAAGCGCCAAACACAATTTCTCGATGGGTGAGTAATTCAACTCATTAAATGTCATCATCCGACTCAGGTAATACAGCGCATTCTCCTTACCTTCATCTTTTTCTTGAGCAAGTAAAGCCCCAACCGACCGTTCTTGAGCGAAAATATAGAGAATCAATGGTTTTCCTGGAATGGGTGCAGCCAACACTGGGGGATTCATGAGGTACGTTTTGATGCTTGTAAAAGCATTCCTACACGATTCATCCCACTCGAAGGGTACCCCTTTCTTCATCAGTCGACTGAAGGGTTGGCATCATCCGGCCAAATTAGAGATAAACCTCCGGATATAAGCCAACTTCCCTTGAAGGCTCTTCAATTCATGAATATTTTGCGGCTCAGGCATATTCACAATGGCATCAATTTTAGATCGATCGACTTCTATTCCCCGTTGATGAACGATGAAACCGAGAAACTTGCCAGAAGTGACTCCGAATGCGCACTTCAAAGGATTTATCTTCAGTTGGTATCTCCGAAGGCGTTGGAAAACTCTTCAAAGGTCTTGAATATGATCCTCTCGCTTCTTTGATTTCACCATAAGGTCATCAACGTAGTACTCCACATTTCTATGGAGCATATCATCAAATATTCTTTGCATTGCCCTTTGATATGTCGCTCCAGCATTTTTCAAACCAAATGGCATTACTTTATAGCAATAAATTTCCTTGGAGGTGCGGAAGGCAGTGAGTTCCTCATTCTCGGGCGCCATGCGTATTTGATTGTAGCCAGATGATCCATCGAGAAAAAATAGTGTTTCATGTCCGGTTGTAGCATCTACCGTCAATTCTGTGATGGGGAGTAGAAAATCATCTTTGGGGCAAGTCTCATTTAAGTCTCGAAAATCAACACAAATTAGAATTTGCTCATTCTTCTTCCTTACATGGACGATACTTGAAATCCATGTTGGATATTTCACTTCCCGTATGAACCCAATTTCAATCAATCTATTTATCTCATTTTCTATCAGAAGAATCAATTCGGGCCAAAAGCGCCTTTGAGTTTGCTTGACAGGTTTTTTCCTTGCTTGACAGACAAATTATGAACGGCGATCCTTGAATTCAAACCAAGCATTTTTGAGTAATTCCAAGCAAAGACGTCCCTGAACACGAGCAGCAAATCAGCATACTGTTTCTCTTCTTCAGGAGTCATACAAGAGTTTACGTAAATTGGGCGAGGATCGTCGCTTGTGCCAAGGTTAATCTCTTTTAGCGCATCGACTGTATTTTTTACCCCTTGTTCAAGTTCAGGGGGAGCGTCATCCGCATCTTGTTCTTCTTCTTTGAGATCACTGATCGTAATATGGTGACTGGAAGCCATACTTTCTTGACCCTGTTCTTCAAAAATGGTTTCAATTATTACATTGAATAAGTCTCCATAGTGCATGAAGAAATTGGAGACTCGCTTTCTTAGTCCGTTCTTCTTTATTGGAGTAAGACTTTCTTCCTTGGCAACTTGGTACTCTTGCTTTTTACTGCCTAATCTTTCATAGACAGGCGGTTTCAAATTTTTCGGCTGCGGGTCAAATCTGTCAAACACAGAAGTACGCTTTGACTTATATCGCAACCTATCGAACACAGATCTCCTTCGCCTTGTGACCTCCATTTCCTCGTTCACGTAGTTACAACTTGCTCTTTTGATCATTATACGCACTGGAGAAGGCGGTTGATAACCAAGACCTATCGATGAACTTTCAACATTATAGCCTTTTTCTTTCAACATTTTCTGTGTAGGTGTTAATCCATGAGTCTTTTCGCCAGTCACCTCAGGAGGGAGTTTGCCCAATGCATGCTTCTCATTTGGGTTATAACCGACCTTAGTAAGAAGTCTGTATGCGTTTGGATCAAAATCTTCTTGAATCTGATTAGTTGGTAGTGAGTAATGTTCTACTACCGGTTCTTCTTTGGGACGAACAAATCCTTGCAAGCTAGCTTTCTCACTTTTAACAGGCTTTATCTTGGTGAGCGGAACATTTAATGTATCATTTCTAATAAAAGAAGACTGACCTTCTTCTCTCCTTGATCTTGGAATATACCGCAAAATGGGTACTTTGAAATCTTGACTTTCTTCCTTTACTGATTCTTCTCTTTTTGCTTCTTTCTGAAGGTAAAATTTGGCGTCGGCAAAGTGAGTCTCGGCCTCAGTGAAAGGTTTATCATCGGCAACAACCTTCTTAACTGTACCGTCTCAACAATATTTGAAACATTGATGCAGAGTAGACGGTATAATTTCATTCTCGTGAATCCAGGGTCGTCCCAAGAGCATATTATAAGAGATTTTGGCTTCAATGATATGAAATAACGCACTTAAAGACAACTCACCAATGAGCAATTCAAGTCTTATGAGACCAATTGCTCTTTGCCCCCCTGGTTAAATCTTTGGATCATGAGGCGGCTCTGGGAGAGTTCATCGCTTGAGATTCCTAGTTCTTTCATAGCACGTACGGACATAATATTGACAGCAGATCCCCCATCAATGAGTATCCGATTCATCTTCTGTTCTCGGACATACGCGCTAACAAACAAAGGTCGATTGTGGGTTTTGAACTCAACAGTTAAATCGTTATCATCAAAAATGATGGTCGTTGCACAATCCACTGGTGATTTATCATCGATTTTGAGTTTTTCCTCAAATTTAGTGCCAATTTGTGTGATTTGAGGATTTTCAACTTTGACGACATTACAGGAAGTGAAATTGTCAGTATCGTCACTTAAATACCCCTTGGATATAAATTCTCTCAGTGTCACGGACTGTCGAATCTCTTGAAGGAGCTGAAAATCTGAAGGAATTAACGTTGTGATCACTCCTTTTTGTTTCTTTGTTGCATTTCGTTATTTCATTGTCACTTTAGGTTTTGTCGAATGAATACTTTTCGAAAAAATGTACTTCTTTATTTTTTACTTGCAAGTCCTCTGTCGAGTGACTAAAGTCCATCCTTCGTTGTCATCTTCAATAACGTCTTCAATTGAGGATTTTTCAAGCTCCTTAGACAAAGCACTGCTTGATTTGGAAAAAACTTCTATCGGACAACACACAGACCCAAACATTATTGTTGTTTGATTTGGCGATACTTTATCCTCCTCAAGAAGGATTTTTCCTTGATGGGCTAATTTCATAATTTTATCTTTAAAGACAAAGTATTTAGTGAGAGGATAGCCAATCAAGCGATGATAACAGCAATAATTTGGATCATTAACTTGACCGACTTCCTCTGGGCATTTCATGTCGGGAAGTTCAAGCAGTTTCTCCTTGAAAAGATCATCGAACATCCCTTGTAAATCAGATTCAAGGAAGGGGTATTCATTTTCCTGCATTTCTTTTAGAGTGGGTCTTCTTACCAACCTATTTTGAGGGGAGTCTACCTTTTCGGTGACCTTTCGGCTCACCTTGGTGACAATTTTCATGGGAGTTGTGTTTATTGCCATGGACTCCTTATTACTGAATTTTGAAGAAGGCTTGCCCCCTTTTTTATTTTCTTGCCTTTCATTGCTTTGACGAAGCGGCTGCACTCGCGGAGCTTGAATAGGAATCCCATCAGTTGCATTAGCCGTGATGCTTAACTCCATATCATGAGCGCGAGTAGCTAATTCTTCAAATGTGTTTGGACGTATACCCTGTAGAATGTAGCTTAGGCTCCAATGCATTCCTCGGATGCACATTTCTATGGCAGAGGGTTCAGACAGTCTGTCCTTGCAGTTGAAACTCAGACTTCTCCACCTATCGATGTAGTTGACCACAGGTTCATCCTTCCATTGACGAGTATTGGTCAACTCCAGCATACTAACGGTTCTTCTAGTGCTGTAGAAGCGATTCAAGAACTCTTGTTCCAACTGTTCCCAATTGTCGATGGACCCCGGAGTGAGATCAGTATACCAATCAAACGCGTTGCCCTTCAAGAATCGGACGAACTGTTTGACTAGCAGGTCACCATACGTTCCAGCGTTATTGCAGGTTTCGACAAAATGGGCCACATGTTGTTTTGGACTACCTTTCCCATCGAACTGTTGAAATTTAGGTGGTTGATATCCAGCAGACATTGCTAGGTTGTCAATTCTAGCAGTGTAAGGTTTGGAGTAAGTAAAGCATGACTTTGAACCACCATCATTTTTTTCTTTAATCACGTCTTTAACAAGTTCCTTCAGTTGTTCTACAGGGATAGTTCCCTCGACAGTCACATATACTTTCTTCACCTTGTCCTTGCCTTTGGATGAGGAAATTTCACGTTCTTGGTGCTCCTTAGGGTTCGCATGGGTTCCTTCAAGAACGTGATCTTTCTGAGTGAGCAGTTGAGCGATAAGAGTATCTTGATCCTTGATGTGTTTCATCATGGTCTCCATCATCTTGGACATGTTCGAAACTTGTTCCTCGAGATTTAAAGTGTTTGTCATCATGGCAGGCATTGCAGCAGAAGAAGCAGCAGAATCTTCAATATAAAATCTTGATTGAAGAGTTTCATGTGAAGAGGCTGATCCAGTGCTTGATGAATCATCATCATGCTTAGAAATTTTGGATTCGGATCCAAATTCGAGCATGGCAAGAGCCTTCTCAATCGAGGCAGGAACGTCTTGGATTCCCATCGTGGAAGAATAGCTCATTGGTGATATTGAACCAAAGACGGGAGTTGACGCCGATGGAGCTTCCATGCTACTTTGGGTCGAGGCTCTCGTCATACTCCCTGTCA